ATGTCAAATTTCACAAATATCACTAAGAGGGAAATAGCTTAATTAACAACTGGGCAAGTGGTATAAAAATAGCTCAATAAAACATTTTTTAAAAGCATACAATAGATCTACTTGTATCAGTAAGGAACGCCCTTTTAAAATACTAAGTAAAAAAAAAAGATGTAACATGTATTACATGCTACCATTTATTGTTTAAGCCATAGTTAGATGTAAACATAAATGCGTATAAAACAGATGCTTTGGAAGAATACATAAGCAACTAAAAAGGCAATGGTCATGGATGGGGAATGGAACTGGAAGTCTATAGTGAGATTTATTTTTTATTTTATATATTCTCTAACACTATTCTAATGTTACCATGCACATTTATTCATTTCACAATGATAGACGCCTGCTGCCTTGGGACAATCTGCTGCAATCTGGGCTATGAATCAGCATCCAGACACCTGGGATCAGAGAAGGCTGTGTGGTTTATCAGGAAAGTAATGAGTGGAGGTTTGCTACAGCAGAAAGTGAAAGGATGTAATAAAAGCTGTATTTTCTGAACTAAACAGTTTGTTTCCCATCTCCAGCCTTTCTAGCTATGTGATCTCAGACACGTTACTTAACCTCTCTGAGCTTCAGTTACCCCATTTGAACAATGAGGATACTTCTACTTAAGATTAATAATAAGGACTAACAATAATATGTGTATTTGCAAAGTACCTACTAACATGGTACTTGCAGCTTAGTTGGCACTCGAGCATTAATTTTGTTATCCTTTCCCTTAGAACTAAAACTAAAAAATAAACTAATCCTGGTATAAACAGAAGAGCAAAGAAGAAAAAAATAGACTTTAGAGGTTGGGACACAAGGATCAAGGGCCTGGGGTGCAGCAATGCTTAAACTTTGGAGCTGACAGTAGATATGAACTAGTAAAGGAACTGGACACCATCTTGTTGAGATTGTGCTCCCCATATTCCTTCTCCCTGTCCCCTCCTCGCTCAGATACAATAATTTGGTGGGTTCTTCCCTCTCAGCTTTACCTGAATCCCAATAGAGTCAGTATTCTGCTGAGCTAACAGGAAAACCTGACAAGTGTCTCACAGGCACCTCTAAAAGCTAGAAATAGAGGGGAAATACTCTCTGTGGGGGTTGCCTGGGGACCTCCAGTACAGGCTTAAAATTCTTGCAGAGTAAGGCAATACAGGAGACTAGCTGAAATATAAAAGTACCAGGGATGACTCTAACTTTGAAGAATGCTACTTGAACCCCCTTCATCCTACAAACACCAACTGAACTTTTAACAATTTTTTCAGAGCAATGTGAAGTTTAGGGAGATGTATCTGTATAACAGTTAAGACCCAAAAAAAGTCCTAAAGTAGATAAGAAAAAAAAAAAGGTTACGGGATTAAGACCAGTTCTCTGGTAGATACTAACACAGTGACTCCCGGGACAAACTGAGGTAGAAGGGTCAAAAGCCAGGGGTGGCCATCAGCTGCGATCAGCTCTAAAGAAGGTTTCTCACCTCGCCACTGAATTTCACCTCAGTGATAAAGTAAATTATGGTAAAGTAAATCCCTTTTGATTTAAACTGTTCTTATCCAAACCTAAGAATCCAAAGAGATGTGAATAAACCTGAGATACCCCTTGCTACACCTAAAACTAAGGAAACCAATGCATCTGGATAAAACATATTGCTGTCTGAATTTGCTATAACCAAAATCTTGCCACCCAGATTCAGACAGCAAGGAATTCTTACATGAAACATTTGGTGTAAAACTGCAAAACCTTTAACCTGCTAGAGATTTTAAGCTGCCAGTGTCTAGGTATGAATACTACAGAGCAAAGAAGCACATTCGTCTCACAGACCTTGGAGACTCCCTAGGTCAGCCTAAGGACTTAAGTTCTTTCAAAACACAAAAAGAAAAAAGAAAACCACTCAGAGAACATCCACAATTCAAGGAAAAGGTGACACAGAATAAATCTGTTACCCCATAAATCAATCCTCAATAAAAGCCAGCTGAGCCAACCTCACTTCAGATCAACCTAAAGGAAGCAACCAAAGCACTAAATAAGCAAATCAGTGGAATGAACTGGCACCTCTGAAAAAAGAAAAGATATAACTAAAGCATAAGTTTATTAACCACTGAAATCCTAGTATGCGGCTAACCGATTATAAAGCGCCACGAACAAGTGTTGCAAGGCTAGATTCACTGCTATCAGCATAATTAGGTCCCGAAAGAGGAATCTGAGATAACACTGAACAGATCAAAGAGCATTTCCTCAGCCTTTAAAAGTCACTTAATGAACCTGACAACAAATATTTAAGGTCTTTAGCATGACCATTCACATTTATGTGATTTGAAGTACTTTACACTCAAGCTCTTAGTCAGACTGCAATGTCATCTAAGGGAAAGAATTCCGATTTTTAACTACCTTCAAATACCAATTTCTTTGAATAAACTATTTCCTGGCGTGAAAGAGGTTTTAATTTCTGATCCCAGGTTTCCTCAAATGTTAAATGACAAACTCTTTATAATCTTCAAAGAACACTAGGTATCAACTGTGAGGCACTCTGAAAATATTAAAAGAAATCAAAACTTTGCTACCTTAAAGGCTATTAATTTTTAAAAACAAGCGAACAAACCAAAAATCCCAATTAGTTCCAATGGAAACCCAAGTGTTACTAGAGTTACTTTTGAAAGTTATCATTTATTAAGACTTCACGGACTAATCAATTATACAGCTGGCAATATACTTTGAAAAATCTCAACCTTTTGATTCAAGATCTCATCAACACTGAGTCACTCAACAGATTTTAACTGAATGTCTTTACTATGTGCCAGATATATTGTCACCTTGCTTATTTAACTTATACGCAGAGAACATCATGTTAAATGCTGGACTGGACGAAGCACAAGCTGGAAGCACGAATGCTGGGAGAAACATCAACAATCTCAGATACACAGATGGTACCACCCTTATGGCAGAAAGTAAAGAGGAACTAAAGAGTCTCTTGATGCAAGTGAAAGAGGAGAGTGAAAAAGCTGGCTTAAAACTCACCATTCAAAAAACTTAGCTCAAGGCATCTGGTCCCATCATTCATGGCAAACAGATGGGGAAACAATGACAGACTTTATTTTCTTGGGCACCAAAATGACTGCAGATGGTGACTGCAGCCATGAAATTAAAAGACCCTTGCTCCTTGGAAGAAAAGCTATGACAAACCAGGACAACATATTAAAAAAGAAGAAACATTATTTTACCAACAAAGGTCCTTCTAGTCAAAGCTATGGTTTTTCTAGTAGTCATGTATGGATGTGAGAGCTGGGCCATAAAGATAGCTGAGAGCTGAAGAATTGATGTTTTTGAACTGTGGTGTTGGAGAAGACTCTTGAGAGTCCCTTGGACAGCAAGGAGATCAAACCAGTCAATCCTAAAGGAAATCAGTCTTGAATATTCATTGGAAGGACTGATGCTAAAGCTGAAGCTCCAATACTTCAGCCACCTGATAGGGAGAACTGACTCATTGGCAAAGACCCTAATGCTGGGAAAGACTGAAGGCAGGAACAGAAGGGAACAACAGAGGGTGAGATGGTTGGATGACATCATCGACTTGACGGACATGAGTTTGAGCAAGTTCTGAGGTTGGTGATGGACAGGGAAGCCTGGCGTGCTATAGTCCATGGGTTCACAAAGAGTCGGACAGGACTGAGCAACTGAACTTAACTGTGTGCCACATATGTGCTAGGAGTTACAGCAAAAATGAAAAATCTCANTGTTGAGCTTTAAGCCAACTTTTTCACTCTCCTCTTTCACTTTCATCAAGAGGCTCTTTAGTTCTTCTTCACTTTCTGCCATAAGGGTGGTGTCATCTACATGCATTGTAAGTTATTAAAAAGTGCAACGAGTTCAGAAAAAAAATACTTCCTGCAGGAAGTAATGTCTAAACCATAAGCTTGAAGACTGGATCAGTTCCACCAGAGAGACAGGAAAATTAAACTTTCCAGACATATGAAACAGTCTGAATGAAGAAACGAATGCATCTTTTCTCCACTAAAGTAGGTATCAAAAATTAAGAGTACCATTAAGTCTAACCATATTTGAGGGAAAGCAGTGTTTTGCTATTTCTCTAGGAAGACTTTTTTCCTTTATCTGTACAATTGTTAACTTACAAATCCACTTCCTGAGATTCTCAAATAACTAATTGCACAATTTTTTTTCACAATTTTTAAAATATTGCACAAGTTTTACCTTGAAGAGCCAGAACTGTCTTCCATAAAGTTAAGTCACTCAGTCATGTCAGACTCTTTGCAACCCCTTGGACTGTAGCCTACCAGGCTCCTCTGTCCATGGGATTTTCCAGGCAAGAATACTGGAGTGGGTTGCCATTTCCTTCTCCAGCTGTCTTCCATAAAAGCTTACCAAAAACAAATGAAATTATCATGGTGATATACATGTTACGCTCTCATTTAAAGAGGATCTTATAAACAGCATGATGTAGAAGAGAAAACTGGCTCTAGGATGAGACAGACCTGGATTTTGAAACTCAGTTCTTACTTACTAGTAGTGTGACCTTCAAAAAGTTCCTTCTCTGAAAGTCAGTTTCCTTATCTGTAAAAGGGGAGATAACTACCCTGTAAGCAACCCTGTGAGGTAGGGAGATAATATGTATAAAGTCTGCTGCATAAATAAGGTACTTAATCAGCATTCCCTTTGAGTACTTTAATAGGACAGTAGTAATTACTCATAAGCTATTCACAAGCTAGGACTTTACAACAGAGATCATTTGATAAGTATCATACTAGATCATAATTAGAAAATAACCCAGAGCCTCATATATACAGTACCTTTATGCCACAATATTTTCAAACCATTACATTAGCCTGAAGGTACAGAAATTCTGTCTTCTAAACCACTGATGAGCATGGTACAAAAGCCATTGACTATGACATACTGTACCTTTTGGTTTGATTTCTCTTCCCTTGAATGGCTAAAACGTGTAAGCTAACACAAACCTGTCACAGTCCGCTGGCCATCACTTAGGTTATTCCACCACTTGTTAATCTAAAACAGAAGGAAAATTGCTTATCACCATATGGTAAATACTTTCAGTCTATGTAAATGAAAAGCAAGAATGAAGATGCTTTGTGCATAAATGAGAGTCCTCATCAGTAAAAATCTCTACTGAACAGACGTAATAAATATGTGGTAGAGTGGGAAGCACTGGTGTTTTACAGTCAGACAGCCTGCATTCTCTACACAGAACCACTGAGCATAGACCTTCGACAAATTACTTCTAAACTTCAGTTTCCTGATACATAAAATGGAGATAGTAACAGATACCTAGCAGTATTATTGTGAGGAATATCAGTACATATGTAAAGCACCTAGCATACTATCAAATAAGTGATTATTCACCAAGGCCCAATCTAGTTTTAAAATTCCAACCAAGAATATTTTCTACCAAAAAATACCTTACTTTAAGGTATAATACTAGATTGAGGTTTAGAAAAAGACAGAATCCTAATCTATCAGGGACACACGTTGAAATTTTTATAATTGATATATGCCTAGAATGGGGCTTCCCCGATGGCTCAGTGGGTAAAGAACCCACCTGCCAATGCAGGAGACTCGGGTTCAATCCCTGGGTCAGGAAGATCTCCTGGAAAAGGAAATGGCAACCACCTCCAGTATTCTTGCCTGGGAAATCCCATGGAGAGAGGAGGCTTGCGGGTTACAGTCCATGGGGTCACAGAGTCAGACAAGACTTAGTGACTGAGCATGCTGAGCTGATGTCCAGAATTTGCTTTACAATAATTAGTGGTGGGGAAGGATGGGAAAGAAAGGGAACTAGATGAAACAAAGTTGCTGTGTGTCAATAACTGTTGATGCAGGATGACAGGGGTTCATTATACTATTTTATCTTCTTTACTCTTTTACTTTACTTTTGAAATTTTCCATGATTAAAGTTTTATTCATGTATAATTTATTTATTGACTTTTGGTCACACTATGTGTCATGCAAGACCTTAGTTTCCTGACCAGGGATTGAAATCATGTCCCCTGGAGAGGGAGCTGGAAGTTCTAACTACTGGACCACCAGGGAATTCCCTCTGTGATTAAAGCTTTTTAATTAAAAAAATATATACATGTTCTCACTATGAAACTTGAGCCAGACTGTGTATACTAATACTGAAAGAAATCCAAGGTTAAAAAAAAAAAAAAAGGAAGTTACAGATCAGTATATATTTGATCCATATTCAACAATGATTTCATTTTTGTAATTCAGCTGACCCTTGAGGAGCAGAGGTTTGAACTGCACTGGTCCACTTAAATGCAGACTTTTTTCAGTAAATATGTACTACACCATATGTACTATACCATCTGGAATTGGCAGAACCCACCGATGTGAGACCACTGTTACGGAGGGCCAACTATAAAGTTATACACACGTTTCCAACTACGTGGAGGTTCAGTGCCCCAACCCCTGCATTGTTCCAGGGTCAACTGTAAAATTAAATGTATGTGAGCTCTCACACCTTACTTGCTGCATATGCACTAGTGAGGCATGGGTTCCCCAGACTTTCATTTCCCATGTTTTATTTATGCGTTATTTCAACTTTAACAGGATTTTACATTTTACATCCTATCATTTACCTATCTCAAACAAATTCATCTTTGGATGAAGATTATGTATACCATTTGTGTTATTTTCACCATTTTAAGGAACAATTTGGATACCAAAACTTTATAGTTCAGCAGCCTGTAGCTTTTAAAGGGATCCAGAAATGTGGAATAGGTCAGCATTACTATCTTCTCAAACATATTGTACTAAATAAAAACTATTGCTCATTATTGCAGGTTTTACCTGCAAAATTACATCAACTGTTCTTCTGACATAAAGCCTCTCTAGAACAGGTAGGGCTCATGCTTCTTGTGTTGTTGGAGAAACAAGGAGGAAAGAATCCTCCCTACTTAGAATAACCTCAACTATCATTAAGAAAAAGAAAACCTATGGTTGCCCTCTCAACCTCTCACTGGCCAGGAAAAAAGCGGAAGGAGAAAACTGAAGAGGACACCAACTCATCTCCAAATTGGAAGGGCAGTGTGTTGTCATTTAAAAAAAAAAAGGAGGTGCCTGAAAACAAAAGATCCACAAATTGGCCTATGGGCTCTGCTCAATAAACTGTCAAATGAAATAAAATGTATGCTTTCTCTAAAAGGCGAGGAAGGCCCTTAACATGTACACAAAGTGATGAAAAGTTCTAAAAGCTCTGCATTTATACTCTTCTTGCATCCTCAATCCAAGCACAGTTAGAAACGTCAACGGTAGGTATTTATCAGAAAGATAGAAACATCATGTCACTAAGAAATTTTTAAAAATCCACACAGTATCTCTACCCCTCAAACATAAAACGCCCTCTGATTCCAATACATACTCCAAAATCAGCCATCCAGATGGTGCAAGTAAAAGCAGTGGCCATTAGTAGAGCCGGAAGAAAATCCCAAACAGTGATTTTAACAACTATTTGTGGTGATTCTTGATATATGTGGGTAGAGGGACAAACTTCTTGGAACACTTAACTAAACCAGTGCCAGCCATATAAAACATTAATACTTGGTGGCTCAGTCAGTAAAGAATCCACCAGCAATGCAGGAGACGAGGGCTCAATCCCCGGGTTGGGAAGATCCTCTGCAGCAGGAAATGGCAAGCCACTCCAGTATTCTCGTCTGGGAAATCCCTTGGATAGAGGAGCTTCATGGGCTACAGTCCATGGGGTCCCAAGAATTGGACACAACTTAGTGACTAAAACTACTACAATGAATAAAGAAGAATATTAAGTGCAATGATTTCATATCTATTGAGCTAATGTTGCTATTAAACACACTTCACAATAGCCAGACTTCAAAAACTTATCAACGAGAATAAACAAAAGCCATCTTTATCTTTACCTCCTTTCTGAAGTCTCCTTCCTTCTGTGGTCTTATGCTATCCAACCAATCAGCTTTTATACCATCAAAATAACTTTGGACCCTGGATTTCAGTGATTCATATTGCCAAATAGCAGCTGATCCAAATGCACAGCCTGTAAACTACATAAAACAAATATATTACAAAAAATTTTTTAAAGAAATAGACCTATCCATAGTTTCAAGGATATTATTTCATTTTCATTGCTTTTTATGAACATAAGAAACATCGGGTACACTGGAACTTATTAGGTGAACATTTCACTGTTTCCCATTTTATTAACTTCACAGTACCCTGGGACCTGTTTACAATGAGAACTTTTTCAAATTCAAAATATCAACTCAGTATCACCTGTAATGTTAGACCAAATAAGAGGCCCATGAGTTTCTTCTTCAGGGCTTACATGAGTGAACCATGTGCTAACAGCAATTACTGAATTCCTGTTCTCTTATAATCACAACTCCAGATCCTTCTGACGCCCCTCCATGTGTCAGTAAGGGAGGCCAAACAAGACAAATAGTACTTTAACACCACACCTGAAGCAATGCAGGTAACTCGTAGTAATGTGAGCTCTTACCCCAACAGTAAAAAACAAAGGCTTTACAAGAGTCCTTATAGGATAGGGAGAAGGGTAAAAGGCTGTTTCTTCTACAGGAGGAATCAAAGCACTTCTCTTGTATGCTTCACTACTTGTGTCTGATCTTCGTGGTTCAACCTTCCTGGGTGCTTTTCTGAATCCACATTTTTGCTGAATAAAAAAGTTAAACCTATAGAAGAAAATGACATATTAGAAACTGAACTGCATCTTGCAAACAGCAACCTCTATGAGCCTCCCCTCTTTTTTTTTTTGAGCCTCCCCTCTTAACCTGCAAATCACCGACTCAGTTCATTCTCACTCCGCAGCCCCAAAGCCACCAAGACGACTACTCCCAGGTAGGACTCAGTCAAGACAATGAACTATGCTCTTCTGGAAAAGGAGAGACCAACTACAGCAGCTTTACAGGGCATGTTTGGGTTATTACTGTGTATCAATAAGTAAAACAATTTGTACTCATCCTCCACACAGTTTACAATCCTATAAAAAGCTTTTTTCTTTTGTCAAATGGTAATTTCTCCCAGGTAGACCAGGCAGAGGCCTCTTCCAGACTGCTTTCATTATACTCTAAATATACTACCTTGCTACACTCATAAAACTGCTTGAAAGCAATCAGACAGGTCTTCTCTTCTTTATAACCCACACCCTGAAACACTCTGGTTGAATAAAAAGAAAAATTTCATTTCTGTGGCCTGGATGACATCTAAACAAGAAAGTGATTCAAATATATGTCTCGAGTCCCAGCCTCAATTTTCTTATCCTGTATTTCCAACTGTATATTGAATATTTCTACTTGGCTGGAGAAGGAAATGGCAACCCTCTCCAGTATTCTTGCCAGGAGAATTCCAGGGACAGAGGAGCCTGGTAGGCTACAGTCCATGGGGTCACAAAGAGTTGGACATGACTAAGCATGCAGGCATGCTCCCCATTACTTCAAAAACCAATGTATTCAAGAGGGAATTCAGCCCCCTCTACAAACAGCTCCATTTTCCGACTTCCTTACTCCTTCAGTGGTCCCACAGTTCTCTGAACCACTAAGATTAAAAATCTAATCTAAGTTATTATTCTCTCTCCTTAATTCTTACCATCTCCTTAATTGTTACCATCTAATTAAAAATCAACTCTGGCAAATAACATTCTTTCCATTCTTCATTTAGTTCTTTATCTCATGCATAGTTTATGTCAACAGCTTATTAAAGTCCAAACATTTTGTTTTAACATGTTGCCTTTTCTTTTTCTTTCCTCATATTATTCTTCCACAAACATTCAACGCCTCCTCAAATGCTCTCTCAGAGGACCAACATTCTCTCCTTAATTCCAACACAATCCCTCAGCTCATCTCTTCGGGCCTGAATACTTTACCATTTCCTAACAGATTTCATTGCTTCTAATACCGCCCTACTCCAATTCACCCTCCACATTTTATTAAACGCAAATATATTTATCATTCCCCTGCTTCAAACCACATGGTAAATTTCTCATCATCCTATCAAACTTAGCAATGCTACTCCTTTGTTGCAGGATGCACTTCTCTATAACTTTTTCTGTGCCCTTCAAAACTCAGTTCATGTATGTCCTCCTTCAAGAAGCATTCCTCAACTCCCCCAGGCTGAATGTATTCTTTGTACTCCTAGAGTCCTAAAATATCCTGGATATACTCTTAACCTTCTCTCATTCACTGGCTGTACTGTAACTAGATTATCACCTCTGTATTCATTATCTCTCTACCACCAAGGCCAATCCCTAATAAAGAAAGGGTCAACAATTACTTCAGAAAAAAGAAAGGATCAAGAACAATTATTGGTTTTATTTTGAATAACTGAAAGGAAAGTGGTACTATTCACTAAGACAAGGAAAATCAGAAGCACCAAAACAGGAAACTAGAAGGAGAGATGAATAATTCCATCTTAAGCACTGTTTAAAATGCTTGCACTCATTGCAGCACAATTCTATCAGCTAAAAAACTGGAACTTAAATTGCTATCAACTGGGGGAAGGAGAAATTCTGGTAAATATTTATATGACAGAATACAGTTGTCCCTCGGTATCTATGGGAGATTGGTTCTAGGACCCCTTGCAGATACCTAATTCTGGATGTTCAAATCCCTTATAGAAAATATAGCTGACATTCCCCATCAACATGGTTGAATCCATGGATAAGAAACCTGGAGATACACAGGGCTAACTGAACTACTCAGTGAAAAACTACTGATCACACATCACAGATGAATCTCAAAAACACTACTGAGCAAAAGAAGTCAAACTCAAAAGAGCACATAATGTGACTGTGTGATTGCATGTATATATATATACATATATATATATACATATATATATATATATGCGAAGTTGAAAAATAGGCAAAAATTATCTGTAGTTAAAAAATAATAATCTGTGGTGATCAAAATCAATAGTGGTTGCCTAAAGTGGGACTTGACTGGAAAGAGGCAAGAGGGAACTTGCTGGAATGATGGACTTTATTTTTAGGTGACAGTTGCACAGGTGTATACATTTGTCAGAACTAACAGCTATACACTTAATACTTATACATTTTACCATATGTAAGTTATATTGCAATAAAGTATTCTAAGCACCCAGGTGATATCTAGCAGGCATCTGGAAACATGAAACTCAGAAAAATGGAATAGATACTGTTACTACTATTACTCACCTAAAATGCTCTTCAATGCTGAGTCCACACCACAGCTCAAATTTTCAGACATCACATTGTGAGGATGGGTAATGATAAAGTAATTCACCTTAAAACTTCTAGTAAGTCAGATTTGTACTTACAGTGAGGGCTACTCTTTTCAACAAAATCTATTTTGGAAAGCAATGCACTTATTCAAACACTGCTAATTGTTACTCAGAATGGCTCTGAACTTCAGAATCTGTTAGCAGGCTTATGAATTTATTGTTTGTTCAGTTGCTAAGTAGTAGCTAACTCTGTGCAACCCCATGAACTGCAGCACGCCAGGCTTCCCTGCGGTTCACCATCTCCCAGAGTTTGCTCCAGCTCATGTCCAATGAGTCAGTGATGCCATCCAATCATCTCATCCTCTGTCGGCCCCTTCTCCTCCTGCCCTCAATCTTTCCCAGCACCAAGGTCTCTTCCAGTTGAGTTGGCTCTTCGTGTTAGGTGGCCAAAGTATTGGAGCTTCAGTATCAGTCCTTACAGTGACTATTAAGGGTCGATTTCCTTTAGGATTAACTGGTTTGAATCTCCTTGCTGACCAAGGGACTCTTGAATCTTCTCCCACACCACAATTTGAAAGCATCAATTCTTCAGTGTTCAGTCTTCTTTATGGCCCAACTCTCAGATCCATACTTGACTACTGGGAAAACCATATCCTTTAGCAAATAACTATTGAATGGCAAATTGCAGATCTACCTTTCTATTTCTTGTTCTATTGCCTGCTTTTTCTGCAGAGGCTAATAAAGATAAATATCTTCACTTTATGAGGCTCTCCCATGGCTAGGGGTGGCCATATTATGGAGTTCTAACAAAATGAGACTTAATTATTTAGAAACCTCTTGAAAAGGTTTTGCTTATCCAGTAAAAATGGAGGCATCACTAACGTCACATCCCTCCCATTTCTTTTTGCCTTGAAAAAGGACGTAAGTCTCCAGAGACAGGGCAGTCATCTTGAATGTCAAGAGAAAGGCCAAGGGCTTCAGGTACTAACCTTGACATTCTTTGAACTACTGAGCAAAGACAACAGTTACCTACCTCCAATCATTTTAAGCTAAGTACTTCTCTCATTTATTTAAGCAACAATTAACTTACAACCAAGGTCATTCCTAACTGATAACACCTTTAAAAGTGTGTTAATCCTTTGTGATTGGATTTGATTTTTCTTAAAACTCCAAAGTAATTTAGACTAATGTGCTTATTCTCTCAGTTGTGTCCAACTCTTTGTGACCCCATGGACTGCAACCCACCAGGCTCCTCTGTTCATGGGATTCTCTGGGCAAGAATACTGGAGTGAGTAGCCACTCCTTTCTCCAGGGGATCTTCCTGATCCAATGATTGAACCCAGGCCTCCTGCACTGTGGGCAGATTCTTTACTGGCTGAGCTACCAGGTTCAATCCCTAATTTAGAGCTAAGTCGAGTAAACAAAGTTAACACCACTCGGTGTCAAGAAACAAAATGTGTGACATAAAGGAATTATGTATTATAGGAATAATTTCCTTTAAATGTTTCCTTGTAGATGGTTACAAATTGTAACCCAGTGTAGCTGGTGGCTGTTTTGTTTATTTTTCCTGCTGTGCCAGGAGGCTCCCAGAACTTCAGCTCTCTGATCAGGGGCTGAACCCAGGCCATGGCAATGAGCTCCTGGAATCCTAACCTAACCACCAGGCCACATTTTTCTCTTTTTAGACCATGATATATGAAGGATGAGATTTCTTTATATCTCTAATAGCTTAATACTACAGGATATGTACTCAATCACTTCTAATGAAAGACTACTTCAACAGTTCTTCAACTCACTTACAATTCTGAAGCACAATGCCTGAGAAGGAACACAAACATGCCAGGTTGGGAATCTGGCTTTAACACAAAGCCAGACCTTTTGCCTAGAATAATATTTATCTTGAGAATCTCAACAGAAGTGTGGGGCTGAGGACACGAAGAACATGTTACACAAACTGGCCCCAGGGACAGTTCAGATGCAGAATATATATGCTACAGGTGGACATACAGAACTTGGAGAGAATTAAGTACTGTGACTTGGCTCACTGAACACCTATTCCTTTCACCTAAGGTACATTCACATGATGCAGGGACTGGGAAGCTAAAAACTATTTTCCAGATATCCTTTCAGTTAGAGTTTGTGATGTAACCAACGCCTTCTCATCAGATTCACTAGCCAGAACTGGGTCAGAACTGGGTTTAGTGAGAAGGCAGGACTCAAGGCATCACTCCTGTGGAGTGGTGGAGGCAACACAGTTCTTACTCTGGTCAGCAGATTCATATCTAGTAGCAGCTTCCCCAGTTGCCTCATTTATTATTGCATAACAGACCACCCCAAGACTTCACTTGTCCTAAAAGCGTAATGACATCTCATGATTCTGTGAGGTAGCTGCCCTTGGCTGGGCAGTTCTGCTGGTCTCATCTGGAATCACTCAAGCAGCCAGTCATCTGGCTGCTTAACTGGAGCTGGAGAGGCTACGATGGCCTCCCTGCCATACCTGGAGCCTCAATATTGGCTGTTAGCTGGTTCTCTCTTTCTAAATGGTCTCAGTAATCTCTAGTCTAGTCTAACAAGAGCTTTAACCATAACAGTGAGAGTGTTCCAAGACAGAAAAGGATAAAGCTGCAAGGCCTCTTGAGGTCCAGACTATGAACCTTGGACAGTACTTCTTCCACATGCCACTGGTCAAAGCTAGTCACAAGGCCAACCTTGCTTCAAGAAAAAGGGAAATAGATTCCAGCTCCAGATGAGAAAAGCTGTAAGTGACTGTGGCCATGTTTTAAAATCTACCACATAAACTGTGGCAGAGGGAGTTATGACTCTGAAAGCGTAGTCTGGAACAGTAATTCTTACACCTGCTCCTGAAGAGGAGTAGAATACTCCACCCCCAAACACACCACTTTGGCATGGGGATTATTCTGAGCTGAAAGCAACTGAGAAGCAGCAGATATAAGAAAAACTCTCTGCCCTGCCCCTATAGGCCTAGAAGCAGGATACACACTTGTAAAGGTGTACCCACTCCCTGCCCCACGCACCACCCCCCCCAACCCCACCGTCTCTACCAGGAAGGACAGAAGTTAATCATAAGACAACTCAAGACCCTTATGAACCCAGAGAAAGCATCAGAGGAATCTACATAACAATCTTTACTAACTCGCCCCCATATTAACTTCCCACTATTTGCTGCCCTAGAAACTCAAAAGTCCTTTCCCTTTGCATTCTCATTTCTCTACAACTTAGATTTTCTTTTGTTAAAATGCCATATAAGACCAAGTTCTAACCATCCCTTTCGGTTACTCATCACTGAGTACTCCCAGGTATACGTGCAAAGCACGGTTTCCCCTTGTTAACCTGTTTTTTTGTTAGTCTGGCAGGGTCCCAGCCAATAAATCTAAGATTGGTAGAGGGAAAACAGCTTTTCCTTTCCCATATTATACCTTAGTATTGCCTGGTAAGCTCTTTAAAATAGGACACCATGGCTCCACATCAGACCAATTAAATCAGAATCTCCAGGGATGGGACCAGTGCAACAGTATTTTTTAAGGGCTTCCCAGGTAATTCTCAAGTGTGGGAGGGTTGAAAAGTTGCGATTTACCACAGATGTGGGGAAACTTTAGTCTCTACACAAATCACCTGGGGGTCCTGTTAAAAAAAAATTCGAATTCAGTAGGTCTAGGGTGAGTCTGAGATGCTGCATTTCTAAACAAGCTCCTAAATTACAGACTGACAAACTATGGCTTGCAGAGAGAATTTGGTCTTCCAGCTTAAAATACCTTTTGCATTTTTAAAGAGTTGTTTAAAAGAAAAATAATATCTGACAAAGACCTACATGGCCCTATTTTCTATCTAGACTTTTATAAAATAAGTCTGAAAAACCCCTGTCCTAAACTGCTGGTTCATGAACCACTTTGAATAGCAGGAGCTAGAACCTAATCCCCCACTCTTCCAACAATATTTCCACTTAAATTACAATAGTTATCTACAGGTTAATCCTAACTGACTAGAATTTAAAAAATAGGATTGTAACCAAACGAAGAATTCCAATACAAAAGTTTAACTAGACTGACAGTGAGCATTTTTGGCTCATTCCCAGCATAGCATCCACACCATCTTTCTCTCTCGAAAGAGTACCCTGGAATTTCCAGCCATTTGGTTGGAGGAGGTACACCAAGCTCCTGTGACAGTTATTTTCTTAAAACTCATCTTGAGTTAACAGGTGGAAAATTAAAAGGGAAATAAATATACCAGATTTACTAATTTGTCAAGTATTTAACCTAAATATATCTTAAGACTGTCATCTCAGTCTAAATTTAAGATTTATGCTCTGTATAAATGATACATACAACTGACAAATTATGCAGGCTTCTTTCCTTTTTTTTAAGGCTTCTTTCCTTTTTTTTAAGGCTTCTTTCAAGCCTAAACCATTTTTCAGAAGTGCTGCCAATAGTTTGATGATGGTAAAGTTTCTAAAAACTCTAAGTGAGATGTTCTTCATTTTCTGTAAAGAGCCAGACAAATATTTCAGTCTTTGTGAAAACAACTTAAATCTCTGTGGCATACTGTTTAATCTTTTAAAGCACAGAAACCATTCTTCGCTGGCAGGCTGCCTTGGGCCTGCCATTAGTTTGCAGAAATTTTGAGGAATACCACGACCTGTAGTTTTTGTTAAAAAAAAAAAAAAGCAAATTCTCAGCCACACTTCACTCCTGTTACAACAAAAAATCACAAGCACTAAGCCCAGACCTCTGTTTTTTAACCATATCACTGACTTCATTCCTCCATATACTAATTTTAGAACCTTGAGAAGTGAAAGCAGATTTAATAAAGTTACATACAAAGAAACTTGCTTCTTTCTAGAAGTTAGATTTCAGGCTTACCTACAATCTCTTTTTCAATGTCACCACAAAAAATGTCAATTTCAAACTCTGCATATGAATGGCAAACTAAAAACTTGTGATGGTAATCTTCAACACCACATGTATTTGTTTCAAATGGTCTCCCATTTTTACTGGAGCCTCCTCTTTAAGTTGCTCTTCTTCTCCTTTCCCTTCCTAACACAGATCTTGAATATTGAACACCTGTTGCTTCCTAATAGCTATATTCACTCTTCTTCCCTCTCAAACTATGCAGTTTCAACTGGGGTTTGGAATAAAGAATGGAATCAGGACCATTGATATAAATTACCACCTCCACCTGACCTCCTCATTCTCCCATCTCCGTAGGAGTCTTAGGTTAGTGCTGAGGCTCCACGTCCCCCTGTATCATGAAGTTAAGTACAATGTAAGCCTTTTTACCACAAATCTCTGATCCTGCATTCAGTGCTTGTTTAGAACTACAGGTTCTTTCCCTCTTCCCCCACAACCCACATCCTTTCCCCCAACCCACCTCCTGCCCACCAGGCAAGTCGACAGGACTGAGTTAAGGCCTGGGAAATACAGTCTACAGACACTCCAGATGATTTGAAAATTAAGGATGCCCTTTGAGCATCCCCGTGATGATAATACTAAAATAGGGACTACAAGTTATTTGTCAACAGTGTGTAGGTCTGACTTGCATTTGTGTTAATTTACATGTCAGTTACATGCCTGAGAGAAAAGGACTTGTCTTGCCTCATGGGCACAAGTTCAGAAATCTCACATGGATTGTGTAAATAAAGTTTCTGTGGTGTTTGAAAAAAAAAAGAAAATCAAGGATGGCTCCACCATATTGGAGCCTCAATTATTTACCACTGGCTAGAGCTGGTGTTGAACTAAACACAAGGCTTCTTGCTATCATCTATCAGGTAGACTTCAGGCACTCATCTAACCAAGTAAGAAAACGGGGAATTGAAACTCTGTTAAACAACAGAAAGAAAATTCAGAGCCAAATACACGCTAGAACCTATTAGTTAAGGGATTTCTCTCAATTTAGAGTTGAACTATTCTAATACAAAAACAGCAAATACTGATAGACCATACTCTTCACACAGCTGCTACTCAGGAAAAATAGAGTATTTCTTTCCAAGTCATCTGAAAACCAAATATTCCACTGTCTCAACTCTTTTAACAGAAAAGCCTCTCCCACAACTTTGCAAGAGGCAAAGTGATGCCCTCCTCTGACTCCGCCTTCCCTTATAAATTCCTCTAAAGTATTCTGTAGAAAAACAAACTTTTATAAATACTGATAAGAGAATAAAATCTCGGCCCTGCCACTCTACCAGCTGTGTTAATTCTTTATTTGCTCGCGGGATTATGAGGTATGGTGCCCAATCTGCCCTTTACAGATTACTTCCCCTTCCCGACACGCCCCTCCGGAGAAAGAGGCTACAGCGGGCTCACGGAGAGCTGGGCCGGGGCTGGTCACTGAGGACCCGGGGCGAGGTGGCACGACGAGAAGCGAAGACTGGACGGAGAGGGTAAGGGGAAGAGAGAGAGGAGGGACGCGTGAGAAGAAGGGGTGAGGCAGGGGAGGCACAAGAGGCCCGCACGGCCTCCACACCTGAGGATGCGCGGCCGGAATTGCAGCTCTGAGACGCGAGAAGCCAGGAGATAGGTCATTACCTACGCCGGAGCAGCCGCGACGGGGCCAGGGCCGCAGTGAGCTCTTCGTAGCTGCGGCCGCCTGCTGGCGGAGTCCACGCTTGTCCACAGCCCCAGCCTCTCTGCGCCCAGCCTCGCCACGCCATCTTCCCAACCTCTGCCCCACCATGGCCCGACCTTACCAACCCCAGCCGGAAACCACTTCCGGGGCGAGGGAGAACCATAGAGTGCCGAGGAGCAGCCTAGATCGCCCCCTTGCGGCGAAGCCCAGGTTCGACCTACGGAGAGACGAGGAACCGCAAGCCGACAGTCAGTTTCCTGGCACCGCTCGGTCTGGACCTGGGAGGATCGTGGTCTAGCGGCCCGGCCTGCAGCCTGCTGGCCCAGGGGAAAACGAGGAGGGAAAACGAATTTATTGAATGATGCCATGGACCAGGCACTTTACCTAAGTTACTGCATTTATTACTCAAAATTACTGCACAACACTTAAGATAAATGTTATTATTTTTGTTGGTTTGTTGTTTTTTACCGAAGGGAAGTGAGTGGAGGAACCAATATTGCAACCCAAGTTTTCTTAAATTACTGCTCTTTTTACTGCACTTCACCATTTCATGTTATGTTACACTGAAGAGTTTGTGCATGTAACAAAAGGTCCAAGTCTGGCATGAAAATCTAGATTCTAAATAAAACTCAAACTTCCTGATCAGCTCTTTCCCACCTGTCAACTTTATTTTCTGCCACTCCATCCCTCCCTCTTACCCTAGCTGTGATCATACTGAATCATCTGCAGTTTCTGAAAGGCACAACTTTTCCAGTCCCTCCTTTTCTGGAGTTCGTATTACCATTCTCACTGCCCAAACCACCTTTCCCTTCTCTTCCTACCTAAATAATTTGTCCTTCAGACCAACTTGGAGCATCACCTCTTCTAGGAAGCTGTAGGAAAAAGTTCTCCTCCATCCTGGCCAGGTCGGAAAGTTAAAGTGAAAAACACATTAACAGGACAAAAGCACACCAATTTTATTAAATTTTTACATGCTCATGGAAGTCTTCAGAAAGGAATGAAGATCAGAAGAGGCTAGAACAGGAAGTTTTTATACCTTTTCTACAAAGAAACAGGGCTTCCCTGGTGGCTCAGCGGTAAAGAATCCACCTGCTAATGCAGGAGAGGTGAATTTGATTCCTGAGTTGGGACGATCCCCTAGAGAAGGAAATGGCAACCCATTCCAGTGTTCTCCCTGGGAAATCCCATGGACAGAGGAGCCTGACAAGGCTGCAGTCCACTGGACACAAAGAGTCATATGCAGTTTAGTGACTAACACAACACAGCAACAACTACAAAGAAACAATCTGTGAAGAACTATCCAGATGATGGGGCTTGGGCTAGGGGTAGTCCAACCAGGATTAGGTAGTGCTTATCTTCCTTAGTAGGAAGAGAAGTGTTAGGTTAACAGAGTTTGTTGCAGATTGCACCAGTGTCTCTTGTTGAACAATAATATTAATAATTATTAGTAATAAATACTCATAATAATCAATATGGAAGCTGCAAAGAACAAAAAGCTTTATTTAGGGTCTCAAGAATTGCAATTCAGAGGCACAGATTAGGGTAAAACAAAACATCTTCCGGGTAAGAGAAGGAATCAGAGGCCTATAAAGGCAAAGGCCACAAGGTTGTTCAAGAATTAGAGAGTTCCCTGGTGGCCTAGTGGTTAGGATTCTGGGTTTTTACTGCCATGACTTGGGTTCAACACCTGGTTGGGGAACTGAGATTTTCCCCAATAAGGCAATTTTCCTTAAGGGATGGACTCTTGCTAGTTATTTTAGGGTAAGAGTTTAATAAACAGGTAGGCTGTCATGAGTTAATTTTAGGCTGAGTCAAATAATTATCTTGAGTTTCTGGAACATTGAATAGATCTTCTGGATCCTGCCAGTAAGACAATAAGTTGTCCAAAGATCAGATTCTTTGGCTGAGAAGAATCTGAGAAGGCTGAAAAGTGCATAGGTCACACTTCCTCAATGATTTCCCAACTCTCTAAACTATAGAGGTCTCTTAGCAATACTGACTCCATTTTGATTTTACTTTCACACTGGTCTCCAGTCTTTGGACTGATAAGGATCTGTCTCCTTGAAAGGAAACATTTATTTTCTGCCTTTAGAAAGAAAAAGAGGGGGGCAGGGTCTGCATTTGCTGCTGCTTTTATGTTATATTTTATATTTGCATTTACTGCTTCTTAATTGCCTTCAGCTCAAAATAACTTTTATGTCAAAGAGTCATATTTAGAGGTGACATTTTGGTTCCCATTAAGTCCTTCCTCTTAGACCTTCACTCTGATTTAGGTGACCTTGAGTGCTGTAATAACACCACATTCAATCTATAAATACTTATTAAACACATAATGCCAGGCAGTATAGGCTTTCCTGATAGCTCAGTTGGTAAAGAATCTGCCTGCAAGGCAGGAGACCCCGGTTTGATTCCTGGGTCGAGAAGATCCACTGGAGAAGAGATAGGCTATCCACTCCAGTATTCCTGCACTTCCCTTGTGGCTCAGCTGGTAAAGCCAGGCAGTATACTAAATCTGGGATATATTTTAGAAGACACTCTCTCTGACCTCACAGAGACCCTGCTCTACTGAGGAAGAAAGGAGCAAGGCAATAAACAGGCAATTACAATACATTGGAAGAAGTGCTATGGTCAGAGAAGGAGAAGGCTCTCTGGGGGGTTAGAGGAGGGGGAAATAATGCAGTCAAGGGATAAGAAATGGGAGGTAGGGGAGAAGGCTTCCCAGAGAAAATGATGAAGTTTACCAGGAAAAGAGAAGGGCTGAAATATTCTAGGTAGAGAGAATAGCATTTGTGATGTCTTCCAGGGCATGCCTTACTTTAAAAACTAAAATAAATTAACCTTGCTTTTGTCAGTTCAGCTCAGTCTCTCAGTCATTTCGAATGCTTTGAGACTCCGTGGACTGCAGCACATCAGGTTTCCCTATCCATCACCAATTCCCAGAGATTGCTCAAACTCATGTCCATCAAGTCAGTGATGCCATCCAACCATCTCATCCTCTGTTGTCCCCTTCTCATCCTGCCTTTGATCTTTCCCAGCATCAGGGTCTTTTCCAATGAGTCAGTTCTTCACATCAGGTGGCCAAAATATTGAAGCTTCAGCTTCAGCATCAGTCCTTCCAATGAATATTCAGGACTGATTTCCTTTAGGATTGACTGGTTTGATCTCCTTGCGGTCCAAAGTACTCTCAAGAATCTTCTCCAACACCACAGTTCAAAAGCATCAATTCTTCAGCTCTCAGTTTTCTTTATGGTCCAACTCTCACATCCCTACACAACTACTGGAAAAACCATAGGTTTGACAAGATGGGCCTTTGTTGGCAAAGTAATGTTTCTGCTTTTTAATATGCTGTCTAGGTTTGTCATAGCTTTTCTTCCAGGGAGCAAGTGTCTTTTAATTTCATGGCTGCAGTCACCATCTGCAGTGATTTTGGAGCCCAAGAAAGAAAGTCACTGTTTCCATTGTTTCCCTATCTATTTGCCATGAAGTGATGGGACCGGATGCCATGAGCTTAGTTTTTTGAATGTTGACTTTTAAGCCAACTTTTTCACTCTCCTCTTTCACTTTCATCAAGAGACTCTTTAGTTCCTCTTCACTTTCTGCCATAAGGGTGGTGTCATCTGCATATCTGAGGTTATTGATATTTCTCCCTGCAATCTTGATTCCAGCTTGTGCTTCATCCAGTCTGGCATTTTGCATGATGTACTCTGCATATAAGTTAAATAAGCAAGGTGACAATATACAACTTTGACATACTTCTTTCCCAGTTTGAAACCAGTCAGTTGTTCCATGTCTGGTTCTAACTGTGTCCTCTTGACGTGCATACAGATTTCTCAGGAGGCCGGTAAGCAACCTTAGAGGCTGCTGGGTCACAAACAGCTGCCAGCCCTGTGAGGGGGTCATTCAGGCAAGAGAACTCTAGACTTTTTGCCACTTTCTGGGACCCTGCATGCCCAATGGGGCCCATTTTGGACTCCCCAGGCCCTAGATATGGTTCCACACAGAAAATAACATGTCTGCAAGAAAGTTTCAAGATCTCAAAAAGCCTGTAAGAGAATAGTGCTCAGCCATAAAAAGGAATGAAATATTGCCATTTGCAGCAACATAGATGGACCTAGAGATTATCTTACCAAGTGAAATCAGATAAAGAGAAATATATGAAATTACTTATATGTGGAATCTAAAAAAAGCGATACAAATGAACTTATTTACAAAACAGAAACAGACTCAAGAGACACAGAAACAAACTCATGGTTGTCAAATGGGAACGGGGAGGAAAGGATAAATTAAGACTTTGGGATTAACACATACACACTACTATATACATATAATAATCAAGAACCTACTGTATAGCACAGGGAACTAGATTCAATATATTGTGATAACCTATAATGTGATCATCTTTTTTCAGAAAAGAATCTGAAATATATATATATATATATGCACATATATGGGCTTCCCATGCAGTCCATGGGGTCGCAAAGAGTCGGACATAACTGAGCAACTGAACTGAACTGATGGGCTTTCCAGGCAGCATGGCGGTAAAGCATCCGCCTGCCAACGCAGGAGACGCGGTTTCGATCCCTGCTTTGGGAAGATCGCCTGGAGAAGGGAATGGCAACCACTCCAGTATTCTTGCCTGGGAGATTCCATAGACAGAGGAGGCTGATGGGCTACAGTCCATGGAGTCGCAAAGAGTCAGATGCAGCTGAGCACGCACACAGGCACACACATATACTGAGTCATTTTGCAGTACATATGAAACATTGTGTATCAACTGCACTTCAATTTTAGAAAAAGAAGGGAAAAAGCCTAGAAGAACTTGTACATTTGCTTGCAGAAAAACTAGAGGCTAATTAATACAAGTTTCCTCATTTCAGGCTGCAATTTTCCCAGCTCGGTTTAACAGATGTGGATGAAAAAAAATTAATAGTCAATCTAAGAAAGGAATGGAAACTTTTATTAGAGCCAATCTGAGGATTCTAACCTGAGAGACAGTCTTTCAGAAAGCTCTGGGGACTTTCCACCCGTTAGAGGTCAAAGCATAGTTATGTAAGCTTTTGAGACAAATATACATCAGATGATGTATTATTGACAATTTACATAGTGCAGATCTGCACATACAAAGGGAGTTGTGGGTCCTGTGTCATTATGGCCCTTTACAAGATTAAGAAGGACGGCTATCTCTTAAGGAGGTCTGGTTACTGCCAACACACCACATACTCTCAAGGGGAGCGGGGAGACCGAAAGCTGCAAGGAAATTTTTTGCTTAAATTTTTTCCTGTCTTGCCATAAAATAGGAATTTTATTTCATCACAGTGATGACTGATATGCTACTAATTAGAAATGTTGGTTCATTTTGTCCACTGGAAAAAACACACAAGGTAAGAGCAGTGAGTTTCCACTTTATTCAGGGACAGTACTGAGGACTGTGGCCCAGAAGACAGCCTCTCAGAGAGCCTCAAGGAACTGCTCCTAACAGGTCGGGGAGGGGTCAGTATGTACACGCATTTTTTTGTGGAAAATTGTGTGT